CCCCCCCCCCCCCCCCCCAATGTTGATGACTTCGCGACGTCTCTGACCATTATCTTGTTTCATCGACACATAAGCAAAGTAGCCAAAATCTGGACGAATTTGAGATTTTGGAAATGGTGTATTTGGCTCGAAAATTTTTAATTTGTTGGGGAGAATTTAGCAGGAAAAAAATTTAACCGCACTTTCACAGAAGCGCGGCCATTTATTTTCGTTGACAATGAAACATTTACTTTTTCTGATTTAGTTTAAAGGATTTCCAGTCAAAATCGAAACAAAATCTCATCTTATCGACGTTGTTAAGCGAATTGTGTTCATCCCTATCCAACACCACGCTGTTAACTATCCTGTGGCGTACTATGGCTCGTTTGTTCCAAATTTACCCACCAAACTTTACGATGATCCACGGGTTCCACCTGGAGAATTTCGATTCGACAGTTTGCCACAAGTTCATGTCGCTGCGGTAAGATTCGAATAATAGACACATTTAGATTTAGGACGTGGACGTCAAAGATGACGTGAAAATATGGCGTGTTTTGCCCCTATGGATATGTCGCACCATTTTGACGCCATTTTCATGTCGTCCATGACGTCCGCGTCCTCGATCTAAATCTGTCTAATAATAATAACAACAACAACGACGACGACAACGACAACAACAACAACAACAACAACAAAAACAACAACAACAACAACAACAACGACAACGACAACGACAACGACAACGACAACGACAACGACAACGACAACGACAACGACAGCAACAGCAACAGCAACAACAACAACAACAATAACAAGGACAAGGACGACAACGATGGCAACAACAACAACGACAACGACAACGACAACGACAACAACATCAACAACAACAGCGACAACAACAACAACAACAAAACAACAGCGACAACAACAATAAGAATGACAAGGACAAGGACGACAACGATGGCAACAACAACGACAACGACGACGACGACGACGACGGCGGCGGCGGCGGCGACGACGACGACGACGACGACGACGACGACAAAAACAACAACAGCTAGAATGACAAGGACGACAAAGACGACAACAAGAACAACAACAACGACAATGGCAAGCACGAGAATGACGACAACAACGAGAATGACAACAACAACGAGAATGACAAAGACGACAACGTTAATGACAACGAGAATGACAACAACGAGAAGACAACAACGACGACGACGAGATGACAAGGACGATAACAATATCAACAACAATTTTTTCGCGCATTATTATAGACTATTAACACCGTATGGACTAACCGTAACTATGTCTACAATTATACAGGAACAAGTTTCACTGTCCATGTCCTTGGGATCAATACGATATGACGTCATCTTCGACTACGGCAAATATCTAAAAGATGACCGTGCCAAAGCCGTTGTGAACAAGTATCACGATCGACTTACAGGCGGCATTAATGACCAAATTACTGCTAGAAATCAGAAAAGGTTGGCAAACGGAAAGTTGAGTTATCCCTACTTGCTTCCAAAATGGATGCCGAATAGCATTCACACATAGTCGTGGAACTATGGAAACGCGATGGAATAAAAAATAATGGCTTGAAAACTGTTATTATTCAGTATTATTACTAAATCTTTGTATTAGTTATATTATATGTTTTATGTATTCAACTCAACTGACTGTATTCATTAAATTACGATTCAGTAAATAGATCAGGATAAGTTGCCTCGTTTGCCATGGCAAACTGAACTGATTAGATGTAGCCATGTTTTTCAACCACGCCCAGGGATGTCTTTTCATAGAAAATAACAGCTTTACAAAATATATATTTGATCACAAAACTGTAATTTTTGATATCATAAAAACATTTCAGGATGTTGGACACGATGAAATGCATTATTGAATGCGATGAAATGCATCCATGCAACGGAACGCGAACTTGATTTTCTTTGCTTTTTGCAATTAGACTAACAATTTCCCGGGTGGTTGTTTGGCACAACTGGGTCAAAGGTTTTGACAGTGATTCCGCTCGTGTTTTTAAGTCCCCACACAGATCGAACACATTATCTATTACTTCAACGTGTCTATATTTGGATCATTATAGGATGGAGAAGGATTTGGTAAAACTAATGCAAAATCTTTCACAATTGCATAAACATGCCGTTAGCTTGGCGTATACATTAGAGAGGTTCAGATTTTTACTTCCACTACCGCTATCGTTACCATTAACCAGTCAGATGTATTTATTCTACCCGAATGAGCAACCAAATGCGTATTAAGTCCATGGACGAGAGGTAGCTACATATTAGATACTATAGTAAGTACAGCACGTGCTAGAATTATATTCATCTAGACCGACATTTGTAAATCTTTTACACTAAATATACAGTACAGTGACGAGTTTCTTTCTTCAATGAATTTCTTGACTACATTTATTTTATTTATTTATTTATTTATTTAGTTAGTTTCGCCATATTACAATACACAATATTATAACAAGAACAAGAATAATATACAGGGTGACCGCAACAGCGTGAGCCAATTACTGCGGGCCCGAATCAGGACATACAAACATAAAAAACAACTATCTGAATAAAACTATAACTAATATAGCAGCACTAAAGAGGCTGAACCAGATTTCGAGCGGTATTACACTTGGTACATATAGTTTTGAATGTTCTTGGATTTTGAGGATCGTAGGGAATTTCCAAAGCATGGAAGTAATAACTCTAGATTTAATGAAATGAGTTCAGATTTAAATGAGTTCAAATTGTTCTAGAAGGAACATATACGTTGCAGGGGCTGAATTATCAAAGGGGAGAGACATAGGGAGAGACATAGATTTTACCTAGATTAACACAAACGGAAATAACCAGGGGGATCTGGAGGTCCTCCCCCAGAGAATTTTCAGATTTTGCATCTCGTAGGACAGGATTTTCAGCATACTTTGAAGCGCATTTCCTTGGAAATTGCCGTATTCTTAGCATTTTTTAGAAATAAGGCAATTTCCTTCACATTTCCTTCAATCTTCCAAAATTTCCTTCAAATTTCCTTCAGATTCGAATTTCCTTATAATTTCCTTCAACTAGTTAAAATTTCCTTCAAAATGGAAGCACTGAGACCCGGAGCGAGGGGGATTCGGCGGAATATTACCTGAAGTGATGATATTTTCCGAGGGTCTTTGCCCCAAGGAAAATATCATCACTGAGGGTAATATTCCGCCGAATCCCCCAAGCGGACGGTTTATAAATGATATATTATACCGAAAGTTAAAGAACCCACCAAGTTTAGAATAAACTTTAAAACTTGAAGCGAATATAATTTTTAATTTCTTTTGTATACCCGAGTTTTTGACGTTTTCTCTTTAAAATATTTGAGCATGTATCCTTTGGATCGTTGAAGGTAACATACGTCTTGAAAATCTTTGGTTAACTTTAAATAAATCTTCTGAACTAAATTACAAACAACAGCTCGCGAACGCCATATTGTTTCAGAGCGTGGTGTCCACGCGTCACGCGTGAGCGTGAGATACTATAATATCCCACGGTAGATCATAGCCTATCGAAGGGAAGATGGCTGTGAAACTCATTAGAATAACAATATAACTCATTATCTATGTTGATCAACGTTTATTCACAAATCTGGTCCTTCACCGTCACGTGTGTATTCTATTCTTGCCCAACTAGCCAATAGCAATGTTTTAGGAAAGTCACCTATCCGTGACTCGAACAATAGGGAAACTGGAGATTGCTATTGGTGGATTTGGTAAAAATACAATACACACGTGACGGTGAAACGACCAGTTTTATGAATATACGTTGACTAACATAGATAATGAGTTATATTGTTATTCTAATGAGTTACACAGCCATCTTCCCTTCGATAGGCTATGGGTGGATCTATCGTGGGATATTATAATATCTCACGCTGCATTGCGAAATCATCATTGAAATCAATCATAAAAAATCACATTTTCACGTGGTACAAATTATGTTTTTTCATTGGACAATTTGAATTTTAGGTATAATATTAACACTAATTCTACGCCCAAATCACACAGCCAAACGTATCGTAGGCGGGCGACTTAGGCATGTATTTCGTGAAAATGCCTAGAACTAGAATTTTTGAAAAACTTTTTTAGGGTCCCACTTTAATACATTAATAAACCTAAGTTGGCTCCCACCTGTCATGACCTCTGCTATTTTCACGATTAATCCCTCGGTTCTTTGAGGAATTACAGCAGATCGACTGTCATAGGACTATATACGATGTCCTAAATCAATCACATCTACCATGAAGCATGGAACCATGCAAAAATAAACATTGGCATGAAGACAACACAAAGTTCTCATTAATTGGATTGCCGACTTCATGTCTAACAGATTACAGAGGACAAAGATTGGTCAGGACATGGCCGTAGGAACCACGGAGGCAGCGGGGGCTCGAGCCACCCTAACTTTTAGAAGCAGAGGGCTGAGCCCTCTAAAAATTCTAAATGAATCTCGTTTTGAGTTTGTTTAATACAGATGTATGACGCAGATCGGGGAAGATTGAATCTTCTTTGCCTCAGCTCTATCCCCTCTGCTCTATCCCAAAGCTCGGAAGATACAGGGACTGAAGTTAACTTTACTACAGTGACCTGTAAGCGCCACCTCGCACTCTTCTGCACGCGTACAATTAAGTCGGCCGCTTTGTCAAAATTGAGTGTTTTTTTTTATATTTCTATAAACCATGACAACTGGTTATGCTAATAAGCTATTATAAGAAACTTGCACCTAAATTAATAGTCTACTTTAAAGACAATACATCACAAAACTAGTCTACAAAGAATACTCTAACATAGGCTAAGAAAGTGAAGATATATCAAAATTATGTTTATGATAATAATATTTTATTGTAAAACTCGACGTAAATCTAACCCCTAAATGCAAGAAAACGTGTTTGAGAGATTTTCCCGAGGGGGCATGCGCCCAGACACCCCTATAGCGGCGGGCCCTCGGTTAAGCTCTCCTAACTTTAATCATCTTCCTACAGCCCTGGGTCAGGACTACTCTGCTTGGAAATATACTCATGCTGGTGTTCCACAGCGAACAAAACTAGGTCCCTTACTTTTTCTAATCATGGTAAATGATCTCAAACCGGCTAGACAGACCTTGTCAAATTCGTCGATGATTCCACAACGTGGGAAGTTCTGCACAGAGGCTCCCAATCTAATCTCCCCTCAGCCGTGAAAGCGTGTCAGTAATGGACATTTGATAATAACATGAAGTTGAACGCTTCGAAGACGAAAGTGATGCGTGCGAACTTCTCGTCTACCCACCAATTGTGATCAACAATCTAACAGTCAACATCGTTACGCATGCCAATTAAGCTACTAGGCGTTGCCATCTCAAATGATCTTAAATTCATGAAATGGAACTTTCATGTAAATAATGCCATCTGTAAGAAGGCTTCCAAGATATTTTGTAATTAAAAGTGATATTTTTAGGGGATTTTTCATTTGTAAAAATATTCTTAAAAACGTATCGTTTTACCATGACAACTATTTTGAATACTTCATGTTCGGAAAATACGATGGTTTTGTCAGAGAAAGCATGCGTGTATTTTCTAGCCTGCGTAGCGGGCGTTTAGTACGGGCGGCAAAAGAGGAAACGCCTGCCCAAATGACTGACAAATTTGTCAGGTATTTATAATGTACAAAAATGTTTGCCCCCCCCCTTTTTCATGCACAAAAATATCTGACCCCCTCTTTTTCCACCAGCCCCCCCCCCCTCCCCTGTAATTAATGACCGGTCCCTTACGATCCAGCCTTTCGACGATATGTTAGGAAGCGACAGGTGGCTAGTCGTTTCTCGTATAAGATTACAATTAGATGGGGGGGGGGCTCTAGATGGGTCAACGACAGAACTAACGGCTGACGTAGTCCAGGGAGAACGTGTTTGAATAAAAGAAGATGTAGTAAGATGAACTGACTGTTTGTGCTTGTGCTTGTGTTTGTGTTTGTGCTTGTGCTTGTGCTCGTGTTCTTGTTCGTGTTCGTGTTCGTGTTCGTGTTCGTGTTCGTGTTCGTGTTCGTGTTCGTGTTCGTGTTCGTGAAGCGGATATGGCCACACGAGTTGAGTTAATTAGAAAATACGGTAAAAGTACAGTATTTTCCAATTAAGATTTCGTACTCATTCTCCGGGAATTTGCGCGCGCCATAGTATTTTCAAGAGGAGTGAAGAGCTAACTTTTTGCTGAAAATATGAATAAAATTTCAATTTTTCCAGTCAAAAGCATTAAAATATGTTTGTCGCAGTCGCAGAGGCGAAAAATATCAAACACGATAGATATTTTCCTCAAGGCTTCGAGAGGTCAAATCCTCACGAAAACTATCCGCACACGAGAGCAACTTGCTGAGCTAACCGCCTCGCGAGGCGGTTAGCTCAGCAAGTTGCTCTCGTGTGCTGCGAGTTTGCTTGTCTGCGAGTTGCAAGTCTGCGAGTTGCGAGTCTGCGAGTCTGCGAGTTGCGAGTCTGCGAGTTGCGAGTCTGCCAGTTTACGGTGGGTATTTTTTGCCTCGAAAACGCTCACTTAAGTGTAATTTTGTGTGCTTTTGACGAATTGATCTTATATTTATACTTTGACAGATCTTTTCATTCTAAGAAATGCTCTCGTTTCACTTTTTCGAATTTTTCAAATTTTGGCGGGAAAATGACGTCATCCTTTTGGCGCCAATATTTTGTTTAAGTGTTAAGACTTCCATAGTTAATTTTTCAAAAATAAGTGGTTATATAATCTTCTAAACCGAAACAATAATTGAATTATCTTAATTCAATCAAGAGTTATAAAGGATGGAATTTTCAGATTTCGGCCACTTTGGCTATTTTTAGTAACAAAATGGCCGAAATCTTTAATCTTTAATCTTTAATAAAATTTCTTTTAATACGGTAGCCTATTCAGTATAATATATACAGTCTGTTTTCCAAAGGGCCGTGCTATATAGTATTAAACACACATTAACTATGGATATTAACAGTTAATTACAGTACATAATTATTACACACTCCATTAATTTCGGAAATGCATTATACATTATTCATGTGCAAGCTTAAGGGTTAAACGCCGTTTGAAATCGTGTAAAGATAAATCCTGAATGTTATTAGTTACTTCATCCGATAATTCGTTCCACCCTTGTGCTGCTCTATAAGAGAAACTTCTTTTAAGAAAGTTAGTTCTTGGTTTAGGCAAAGATAGTTTAACATTATTGCTTCTTAGAGAATAATTACTATTTTCGCATCTCGTGAAGAAATTCTGCACATAATCAGGTAGTCTGTTAGTTAAATCTGAACGTTCCATCCGTTATAATTGATCGAATCAAGATAATTCAATTATATTTTCGTTTTGAAGTTTACACATCTTACTTTTGAAAAATCAACTAAGGAAGTCTTAACACTTAAATAAAATATTGGCGCCAAAAGGATGACGTCATTCTCCCGCCAAAATTTGAAATATTCGAAAAAAGTGAAACGAGAGCATTTCTTAGAATAAAAAGATCTGTCAAAGTTTAAATATAAGATCAATTCGTCAAAAGCACACAAAATTACACTTAAGTGAGCGTTTTCGAGGCAATAAATCCCCAATCATCTAGCCAATCACTTGCCTGAATCAATTCTATTTCTCCAGAGCGATGCCCACCCTTAACCTGCGAACGGGCATGCTCGGGGAACGAAATGGACCAAGAGTAGCCTCAACCTCGTTCCCAGGCTCTTCCTTCTTGTGGAGGAGATTTCCGATCACAGTTAGGAAATTAATGCATCTCAAAGCTATTTTTGATTATAGAGAAATTTCTGATTATTTGCATTTTTAAAAACTTAATATTGAAACTATAGTTTATACATACAACAAATCACCGCTATTTTTAAAATCTGAATGCAAATCCGACCATCTCACAAGTGCTGAACGTCCGAATCAACCTCGTAGCAATAAACGCAGAAGCCCTGGGTACGAGGTTGCATCCCACTGGATAAGCTACTCTTGGTACACATAACGCGGAAAATGCTACGAAATTAAAACTTGCTGTTTAAAAATAATTTAGGGAATGGTTTATCTATGTTATTTCTTCACTATAGATATCTTTGTTCGTCTAAAAGAATGCTAAATACGTTGTAAAATAATCAAATTATGTCGAAATGGATAAGAAGACTTTTAAAAAATCACGTTTCCGGTGTTCAACCCTTCTATTACTTTATTTCCTAGGA